TCTGAGGCCAATTTGTGAAGGCCACAGCTGTCCATCTCATGGAAGATCGTCCTCTCTTTCACGGACTCTCTAGTTTACCCAGCATAAGGTCCTTTTCCAGAGACTGAGCCTTCCTGATAACATGTTCAAAGTACAGGACATGAAGTCTCACCATCTGTTACTTTCAATATTCTCCCCTAGTACCATCATTCAAATGGATCAATTTTCCTGCAGTCTTCCTAATTCGTTTTCTAGTTTTCACATGCATAGGAGGTGATCAAAAATACCCCGACGGGGGTCAGATGTGCCTCACTTCTCAAAATACCAACTTCGCTCTTTAACGTCTTCTCTAAACTCCCCAGCTCAGAGGCATCTAGTCAATCCCCACTGTGACGGAATGGAACTCTTCCTTTGGGTATAGATATTTTGGAGACTGACTATTTCTGGAAGCAGACGGCTTTCTCTTTACCCCATGTAGCAAGTTTGTTCAAACAACTGGTCCGGTGGTTAGCAGCTCTACGTGTAACCCTCTACATCACCAGAGCTCCAAATTTGCCCACAGTGATCATTACATTTTCTAAGAGTATGTGAACCCACTTCTCATCCCTTCAAAGACTAGGAGACATCTTGAGAACCTGTGTGCAAGGACAAGCTTCCTAGGGTTTCTCTTGTCTATGTGATCAGGACTAATTTACTGAACTTAAGAGAAGCACTCTGTCCTCTTCCCTATATAGTTCAGCTTTTAGAGAAGAAAATAATCCAGGGGTTGCAGCACACAAAGTAATAGAAATAATAGAACACGCTGGGATGAGCCATCAGGTGAATCTAATATCTGCTTTGTTATACTAGTTGCTGTTGAATTTCTGACTCGTGGTCAACACCATGTGTTTCAAGGTATTGTGTTTCCCAGGATTTTCAGTAACCAATGTTTCAGAAGTAGATCACCACACGTTTCTATGAGGCACCTCTGGGTGACTGGAACCTCTAAAATGTTGGTTTGTAGTCGACTCACACACCATTTGCACCACTCCGGAACTTCTGTTAACTAATTATAGTCCCCTTCTTTTATGGGGCATCCCTGCATGGAACAAACAATTAAGTGTCTGATGATTAACTGTGAAATTGGTGATGTGGACCTACCCAATAGTAACTCAGTAGACAGATCTGGAGATCTGCTTCCCAAAGGTCACAGTCTTGGGAAAACTATGGATCGGTGCTACTCTGACACATACAGGGTGACCATCTGGTGGAATCAATCAGCAACCATAGCTTATGAGGACTAGTGGGCAAAAAATATAGAGTTAGAATCACCAAGCTTAAGGCCAAGTAGAGGGACTGAGGAAAGTGGACACATTCAGGTGAAAGCTCCAGGCAGTGTTATACAGAGTGCAAAGATGCACAGGGAACGTCTTATCCTTGTAGAGAACTTTCAAGAGTCCCACTTTGAATGGCATACTCTATAGTTTCAAAGAGCTAGTAGCACCTCTTTTAGGGGCATGCTATTATGTAAGTCTATATTTGAATGTATAATTTTAATTTGACAGTATATCATTAGAAATCAATTTCATGATAAATGAGCTAATTTTAACTCTGCTAAAATAGCAATAACAGAATCGAATAACTGTCTTCAATATCAGTTACAGGATAGCCAAGTCTCTGATGCCCTATTTTGTGCTGACTACTAGTGATATTAGGAATTCTACTGGTGCAGGTGTCATAGTGGTTACTTGTTGAGCTGCAATCTACGAGGTCAGCAGTTCAAAACCACTAGCAGCTCCTCAATGGGGCTTTCTACTCCCGCAAACAGTTAGTCTTGGAAACTCACAGGGTCCTATAGGCTCATGATGAGTCAGTATTGACTCAATGGCAGTGAGTTGAAATTTGAGTGGTACAGATGAGACCAGTCTCTGGAGAAGGACATCATGCTTGTTATAGTATAGTAGAGGGGCAATGGAAAAGAGGAAGCCCCCCAATCCGATGGATTGACACCATGGCTGAGACCATGGAATGAAGCATTTGAACAATTATGAGGAGGGCGCAGGACCTGGTATTGTTTTGTTCTGTTGTGCACAGAATGGTTATGGGTTGGAATCTACTCGGTGGCACCTAACAGCAACCACAGTGGTGCAGTGAATGCAAACACTACACTGTTCACTTAAAGGTCAGCAGTTTGAACCCACCAGCTGTTCCATAGGAGACAGACTTAGCAAGCTACGAGTGTCAAGATTACAAGACTTCTGGGGAAGTCTAATCTGTCCTATCCAGTAACCATGAGTTGCAATTTGATAGCAGTGGGTTGGAGTTTTGGAGGATTTTATTAATGATACCACAATTTCTTTTTAACTCTCTCTCATTCTTGTCATTATGCAGATGTCAACGAATGTGCCCTGTGGAATCATGGCTGTACTCTTGGTTGTGAGAACACCCCTGGATCCTATTATTGCACATGCCCTCCCGGGTTTATTCTGCTTCCTGATGGGAAACGATGCCACCGTAAGTCACAGCCACAAGTCTTTGTGGCATCCTTTCCCGTCATTTTCAGTGATGGTTCTAAGATGAGGTGATCTGGGTGAGTGTTTTTGATCATGGGTATGCATCAGAACCACTTTGGAGTTGTATTTTGTCTTGATTTACAAAAGACTAGATTCTATGAAATCAAAACTTCCAAGGTCGGGAAGGAGGGATGTCTATATTTCGTGCTATTTCTTCATCCATATATACACCTACTCTTCAGTTATCAGTTATCTCATATCTGACATTTCTCATTTATGACAATAGTGAAACCTCTCTCTGGCTGTTGTGCATTAACTATGAATGTGTGACAATAAGAAATGTAGGGGTGAGACGTGAGAGTAACACTGACTATGAAGGTTAAAGTTGGGTGTCCACTTGCCTAGTGGTTTGTGTATTACGTAAGGATGTGATGTACTATAGATACCCACCATTTTGTGATCTGATGTGGTCATCTTATATTTTCGCATATGCCAACTTTCACATAATAACCTGATCTTTGGAACATAACCATATCTACAGCGAGGCACTGTCATTTTTCTTAGCTTGGCTGGTGACCTACACCCTCATTTTCAAAGGTCGGGACCATTAATCATTGTGTTGCTGTAATTTTCTCTTGTGAGATGGATTGGGCTGCAACCATGGGTTCAGACATAAGAACCAGTGTTGAGGATGGCGCAGGACCGGGCAGTGCTGTTGCGCAGAGTCACTCTGAGTGAGAAGGGACTTTATGGCATCCGATGACAGCAAGGACACTTTTCTATGGAATTTAATCACCCAGCATGCTAGTGTGAAGAGATACCTTAAGGACTTTCCTGTATCACAGAAATACTGCTCCTTACCTTCATTGTATGAGATCCACTTGATTTATCCTTAATAATCAGGATGAATCACATCGGTCAATACAGTAAATCCCTTCTTTGCCTGTTAGAGAGCCAAAAATATTGGCCAGGTGATATGAAGCTGGCCAAGCGCAAAATCATATGTATATGTATAATTTTAAAAGCTGGACAGATCCAAACCATAAATCCAGTGTCAGGTATTCTCCAAATCACATTGATTGCATAGACTGAAAATCCTGGACGTTCCTAAGCAAAGTCTGTTAGTGTATTTATGGATCTGTTCTAACTTCATAAAAACTCCTCCATGTATGATAATTTCTAAAACATACTCTCAATTGCATTTGACGATACATGACTGGTTACAATCAGAAACTTTTATATGTCTGAAAACATATTCAAGTATCTTCCTCAGTATTTCTGACTGACTCTATTTACACGATCAGCCCATGAATGTTTACAATCAGGTTTAAAATAATTAAAGTCTTCCTTCACACATCGGTTCATCTGAACAGCATCTGTGCGTGTAAAAGTAGGAATGTCAAAACGGATGGCTGCTCATGAATTTCTTGAATCATCTGACCCATATGACTGCTGCTAAAGAGCAGTGCAGGCCATAATGCCAAATTCGTTCAGAGTTCCCTTGTACGAATTCTTGTTAGGCACCATCAAGTTGGTCCTAACTTACAGGAACCATACTGATGGTAGAACCAGCACCGCCCCGCCCTGTACGACCCTCCTCACACTTGCTGTGTTGGAGCCCCTGGTTGCAACCACGGGCATCTTCCTCGTTTGGCTGACCTCCAACTTTGTGGAGTCTGATGTCCCTCTCCAGAGTCTGTGCTTCCTAGTAACATTCCAAACTACAGGAGAAGATTCTTAGGGAGCATTCTGGGTGCACTTCCTCGAGACAGATGCATTTGTTCTCCTGCCTTGATATAGTCATTATTCTTAGCTACCATCCTAATTAAAGGCAGCAGTTCCTCAGTCTTCCTTATTCATGGTCTGGCTAATTCATTTTCAAGATAGTTGAGGTGATTAAAAATACCATGACTTGGGTGAGCTCACCTTAGTCTTCAAAATGACGTTTACTTTTTCACTACTTTGAAGAGGTCTTAAGAAGCAGATTTGCCTCATTCAAAACTTCATTTGATTTCTTGACCGGTGCTGCCATGAGGATTGATTGTGGATCCAAGTAAAATGAAATCCCTGATCACTTCAATCCGTTCTTTATTTTTTATCATATTTTCTATTCATCCAATAGTGAGTTTTTGTTTCTTGGTATTGAGGTATGATCCATATTGAAGGCTGTAGAATCTTTGATCTTCATCAGGAAGTGCTTCAAGTCCTCCTTGCTTTCAGCAAGCAAGGTGCATCATCTATATGCACAAGTTGCTATAACCCTTCTTGTGTTCTTCATACATTCTGGTTTCTCAGATTCATCTGCTCAGCATACAGATTGAATAAGTATAGTGAAAAAATATGACCATGATGCATGCCTTTCTTGATTTTTAAACCATGCAACACTCCATTGTTCTGTCCAGATGACTGCCTCTGAGTCCAGGTACAGGCTCCATATAAGCATAATTAAGTGTTCTGGAATATCTGTTCTCCACAATGACATCCAGAGTTTATTATGATCCACCCAATCACATGCATAGTCAGTAAAACATAGGTAAATGTCTTTCTGATATTTCCTGCTTTCAGTCATGATCAATCTGACACAGGAATGATATCCCTTGTTCTTCTTCTGAACCTGGCTAGAATTCTGGCAGGTTCTTTTCTGTGTACTCTTGTTTTAAACTTCTCACTAGCCAAATTTTACTCTCATGTGTTATTAAGGATATTATTCCATAAATTCTGCATCTTGGTTGGATTGACCTTTTTTTTTTTTTTTAAAGAATGTGCACAAATAGGAATCTCTTCCAGACAGTTGACCAGGCAGCTATCTCCCACATTTCTCCTTTTAAAGCAGTGAGCACCGTCAACACTACGTCTCCTTGGTGAAATAGTTCAATCAATAATCCATCCATTTCTGGGGCCTTACTTTTCACCAAGGCCTTCAGTCCTATGCTGCCTCTTGGTAGGCTTGAAAGTAGACCAGTTCTTTTTGGTGTGGTGACTGTGTAGTCTCGCTATCTTCTTTTGAAGCTAGATTCTTTCAGTATTGCAATTTAAGGCTTGAATCTTTTTCATTTCATTCACCATTTGATTTTGAACTCTAGATTTTTACACATTTATTATAATACTTTGTCTTATCTTCTCAAGCCACCCTTTGTAATTCTCTGTTCAACTCTCTTACGTCATCATTTCATCAGATAAGGTCATAGTTTTCAAAGTTGTCCATAATCCTAAAAAAAATACAAACTATTATTAATGGCAAAAGTGAGGGAAGTATGGTTAATATCTCTCCTGATGAAGCTGTAAGTACTTGATATATAGGTTCCCTGGTCTGTAAAAAATTATAAAGATAATGGAAATATTTCAACAGGATGACCATATATATAAAACATTCAGTCTATGGCTTCCTGCTTGTTCTTGTTGTTATGTGCTGTGGAATCAAGTCTGACTCACAGTGACCCGATGTTCAAAAGAACAAATCACTGCCTAGTCCAGCCCCATCCTCACAACTGTCATATGTTTGAGCATGCTGTTGTAGCTGCTGTCAGACCATCA